ACGTGACATCTTATAGCAAGGATATTAATTCAAATACTTTATTTTAACCCAACCATTTGCATTACTATGACTACTCCATGGGGTGTAATTTTTTAAGTTTGACCATTTAATCACAGTGGTCAATATGCTCAGTTTTGCTGTGAACTGAACAGTAATGCACTAGATGAGCTGGCTGTTAATAAAGTGTCCTCCAGCCACGAATCGTGTATAGCTCGCGTGGCTCCTGGTATGTCTCCTTCTCCTAACCCCCATGTACTAATAGCAGTTTATTTAAACAATATTGTAGCGGAGAGGCAGTATAATCCACGATATCTCCGCTGGGTAACAGGATATCTCCGCTAGGCAAACAATATTGTAGCGGAGAGGCAGTATAATCCACGATATCTCCGCTGGGTAACACGATATCTCCGCTGGGCAACAAAGGATAATCCAGGGAATCAGCATACAATAATCCCAGTAGCACTGTAGTAACCCTTCCTTCCCAAGAACTAGACGACACATAGGCTGGGAGTCAACTGAGGTCTTTTATTTCAGCTCCACAATTTATACAATTCCCCATGCAAGGGGTTTCCTGAGTCCCCTCCCAGGGGCATTCCCAGAGGGGACTACATGGGGGACTTATTGTACAGGACATTTCTCCCATCAGGCACTGCTGCACGAGAGGGATCCTCCCACAGTAATGTACCGTTAAGTGGATTATCCCTCCGTGCAGCAGAACCTACAATTCGTATTAAAATGCATAACTCTATGAATATATGATCTATTTAAACGAATGGATGTTCGGTAGATAGCTGGGGTCTGAGCGCATCATTCGTGAGATTACCGCTCAGATCCCAACTAAAACAACTGAACGCCGCACGAAAAACACATTAATTAAAACATATCTTCAAAAGACCGATTGTATGTAAGGGAACAGGATACCAAACGGCCCGGACCTCCCGAACGGCCTGGAAGCTCAGCGGTGTTCATGCCGTCGAGTAGCTATTTTTAGTACCATGCGCTCGACGACCAAACACCGCTGAGGGAACAAAGGATCCAAGATGGCCGACCGCCGCATGGTCGGTAGTCGAACAACGGCCACCTTGGAGAGCCTCTAATTACTGATTGCAACATTGTTGCAATCGGTTAATAGGCGCCACACGCCTCTAAGTGTGTGGGCTATTAAATGATGGTTTGTTCGGTTCACGAACGGCCCGCAAAGGTGCCGTTCGTGAAACGAAAGGGAATCAGCTATCTGCTTTCGGCAGATAGCCCAGGCAGGAAATACAGTATTACAATTGCATTACATTACACGCTGGAACACATATAACATGAAAACCATACAGGCAACCCTTAAAGCGACAGTACATAAATAATGTCCAAGTGGCTAGGTTTGCCACAATTATCTTAAGCACCATTTATCTGCCATTGTAAATGTTCTTAATAACTTCCTGCTTGGCTAATAAAGAGAGGAATTAATTGATTTATGGCAGTGCAGTGTTCCTTTAGATAGAGAGATTTCTCATGCATTGCCGATAAATTTTGTTTTAAAATAGAAAAGAGGAAATTGTTATAGAAGCCTCTGTGATCTATCCTCATACAGCGTGATATTACTTGTAGTTATTTTTAATACTCAGCTGTTAAATTACACAAGGGGATTTTGCACAAAATGTTTATTTTAAATGATGCAAAAACAAAAAACGAATTTCAGAAATAGGAAAAAAAAATTCAAAATGTTCTAGCAGCCACTTTTTAATTTTTTTTTGTAAGAGAGACAATTTGCAGTTACATAAATAATATATGGATCTACAAATAATGAATTTAAGGTTTAAAGTCAGATACAAGTCAACTCCACAGGGTCAAGCTGCTTAGCAAAAGACAACATACAACACAGGAGAAGCCAACCTCCAAGGAATGCACCTGACCCCATTTAATTTCACCATAGTAGGAGGTAAAAGGACAAAAGGAATAATTCTTGTAAAGTACTGGCAATTGGAAAAGTCTCAGTCCAAAATGCACTAGTGTGTCAAAAGATTTGTGAAAAAGATTAGACAGTAAGTAGTATGTAGAAATAATGAAACAGGAAGCTGGGGGTGTTTTTCTAATAACCAGGTGAAGAATAGGATTATGCAAGCTATGCAGAATAAAGGATTTGATGATCCTGAATTTTCCAACGGCTCTCCAAGTTTATTATCAAGATCAACAATTTTTTTTTAAAAATGTAGAGGATGTACAACTGTTTATATTAACATGGAAGTTAGCATAGAATAGCAATGTTAAATGCAAGTTTTCCTTTGTCCTCCTTCCCCTTTTTTTTTTTTTTTCTGCAAAGGAGGAAGGAAGAGAGAGAGAATGATGGGGGAGGGTACTATTAGAGGGATATATTTATAATATAAGGAAGTAATACTTAATAGGCAATCACATTTCATAATAATACACCAAAATTAATCATATCACAAATTTAAAATATTAGGGTGATATATCAATACTTTATAACACATTAAATATAAGGAAATGGGTGAAATAAATCTATTTACGAGAATTGGGGTTAATAATGACTTCATAAATATTGGGCTATTATATTAATAATTAGTAACACTAAATGCACAAAGAACAAAATTGTCTTAAATAAATTTACTGACACTACTAAGATGGGGGTAGGGAAAAGGAAGAAGGGAGAAAAGGGAAAAGCTTGAAGCTGTACAAGTTAATAATTGGATATCCTGTGTATATATACAATTTTTATTTATTTTTTCTCTTCTTCTCTCATCTCTATCCTGATGTAATATTGGAATACGAGTTGGAACAACTTATTTATTGTGGTATTGATATAATAATATGTTGAATATGATATAGGGTGAGGAGGAGAGGGTAAGAGAGGGGAAAGGACATTATGATTGGTTAATATGTTATTATGGATATGGATTCTCTGATATAAATAACAGTATGATTTACTTATACCCACAATTATATGTTTACATGTTTATATCTTACAAGGTGGGGAATCGAATGATGAATATAAGATAAGTAACCTGAACTAATAATTTTATCTTTAAATTTGTTTAGCCTATATAGATATACATATACAAAGTATGTTAGGGATAAAAATAACCATATCCTTTAATTTATATATAAATGTTGTCATGGATAAAAATTTAGCAATTGTTCTGGGGGTGTGAAAATGCTGGCTAAGGGTTAAAACTTGTTTATATTAAGGTGTCTCTTACATTTTTCAATGGAACCTTATTTTCCTGCATATCAAGGCAGGCTAGTCCAAGAGTCATATGGGAATGATCTCCTCTTGGATTATTAAAGGTGGGAGGTATATTCCCCTTTATGTCTTATTTGTTCACAATTTATTTTTTTATTTTTTGGCTGCTTGAGACTCGGTCTGGGATGGGATAGGGATTTTTGGAATAGAGATGTCACTTAAAATAATTACTTGGAATGTCCAGGGCATGAATTCACCTCAAAAAAGGGGAGCTGTATATAAATTCCTAATTGAAAATTCAATTGATGTAGCTTTTATTCAGGAGACTCTCTGGATCGAAACTCCCGATAGACAATGGAAGTATAAAAAATTCCCTACAGTTTATGCGGCAAATTTAGAAGGTAAAAAGAAAAAAAGGGGAACGGCTATTATCATTTCAAATCGACTTAGTTTTGAAGTTATTCACTCAATAACTGATAAAAATGGTAGATATCAGGTTTTAATTATAAAAATCAATGGTATCACATTTACCTTTGTAAATATATATGCCCCGAATCACAATCCGTCAGATCTGCTAGATCAAATTATGGATATTGTAGATGAAGTTGCCTGTGGTAGTATTATAATAGGAGGAGATTTTAATAGTGTTGTTGACCTAACTAAAGATAGAAGTCATAAATATTCTGAGAATGGTAACCTTTGTAATATAGGATTATTTGGCTTATCTGATTTTTTAGCTAAAAATTCCATGTTTGACTGTTGGCGAACAAGGAATCCTCAGGAAAGAGATTATACATTTTTTTCGCACGTACATCAAACTTATTCTCGTATTGACATGTTTTTTGTGAAAGAGGGTGTTCTAAACAATATTATAAAATCTACAATTGGCTCTATAGAAATTTCAGATCATGCTCCAGTTTCTTTGAGAATTAGGATAAAAGAAGGTAGTACTCCAAGGACTAAATGGAGGCTTAATGAAAGCCTTTTGAAACTTGATTATATCAAGGACCAAATAAAAATAGAACTAGAAAACTTCTTAAAAACTAATTATAACGGAGAAGTTGCAACACCAATTGTATGGTGTACCCTAAAAAGTTTTATAAGAGGACTATTAATAAAGTTTGGTTCTGAAAATAAACGGAAGAAAGGCGAATCATTACATGTCCTGAGGATTAAATTAGCGAAAATGGAACGGCTAAATAAAATATCAATAACTAAGGAATTAACAAAGGAAATTAATAATATAAAGCTAGTTATTAAGGATAAAATATATGTAGAGATTGGTAAAAATCTATCCTTCCTTAAACAAAGATGGTATCATAATAATAATAAAATTAATAGGGATCTCTCTAATTAAGAACCAACATAAAGATAAATCCATAAAAAAATTGA